AGCCAACAGCGCTGGGTGCGCCGGGAGTCTCTGCTCCACCAAGATGCACACCAGTTACATCAAGCAGCTGATTTTCATGCTCCTAGTCTAATACATATTCATTACTACTTCTAGAAAAAACAGGATTATTATAATTAGGAGCACAGAGCACATTCTTTACATCTGGTCCTGTTTGGACTGGCCCAAGGGCTACTGCATGCGCTATTTCCTGCTTAATTTGTTCAAAGGATTTGTCGTTGATCAGGGCCCCGTTCAAAATCATTCTTCTTACGGGTTACTTGGTAGAGCGGGTTTACAATCAGACTGTAAATTGGAATGTGCATTCTCCAAAACCCCACAACACCTAGGAAAGTCTGTGTTTCTTTTTTGCTAGTTGGTGGAGACATAGCTGTTATTTTGTTGATCACATCCATTGGGATTTGACGACGTCCAACTTGCCATTTTATTCCTAAAAACTGGATCTCTCGTGCAGGTCCTTTGACTTTATTTTGTTTTATGGCAAAACCGGCTTTCAGAAGGATTTGGACTATTTTCTTTCCTTTCTCGAAAACTTCCTCTGCTGTGTCACCCCACACAATAATGTCATCGATGTACTGCAGGTGTTCAGGAGCTTCCCCCTGCTCCAGCGCAGACTGGATCAGTCCATGGCAAATGGTAGGGCTGTGTTTCCACCCCTGGGGTAGTTGATTCCAAGTATATTGGACTCCCTCCAAGTGAAAGCAAACTGTGGCCTGCACTCTGCTGCTAGAGGGATGGAGAAAAATGCATTAGCGATATCAATTGTGGCGTACCACTTAGCTGCCTTCAGTTCTAGTTCATACTGGAGTTCTAGCATGTCCGGCACTGCAGCACTCAGTAGTGGCGTGACTTCGTTCAGGCCACGATAGTCCACTGTTAGTCTCCACTTGCCATTAGACTTTTGCGCTGACCATATGGTGTTATTAAAAGGGAATGAGTCTTGCTGATCACTCCTTGGCTCTCCAGTTGACAAATTAGCTTATGGATGGGAATCAGGGAGTCTTGTTTGGTGCGATATTGCCGTCGGTGCACAGCTGTGGTAGCGATTGGCACTTGCTGTTCTTCGACCCTCAGCAACCCTGCAACAGAAAGGTCCTCCGAGAGACTGGCAAGGTAGACAACTGTTTAATGTCCTCTGTCTCTAAGGCAGCTATGCCAAAAGCCCACCGGAACCCTTTTGGGTCCTTGAAATATCCTCTTCTAAGGTAGTCTATGCCAAGGATGCACAGAGCATCCAGGCCAGTCACAATATGGTGCTTTTGCCACTCATTCCCAGTCAGACTCACTTCAGTCTCCAATACAGTTAACTGCTGGGATCCCCCTGTCACTCCATAAATACAGATGGGCTCTGGCCCTTTATAGCTTGATGGCATTAGAGTACATTGTGCACCAGTGTCTACTAAAGCCTTATACTTCTGTGTGTCTGATGTGCCAGGCCATCGAATCCACACAGTCCAATAAACTTGATTGTCCATTTCCTCCCCCTGGCTGGAGGCAGGGCCCCCCCTAATCCTGGTTAGAAACTTCTTCATTTCTGTATTTGAAGGACTGTCTGCTGGAAGTTGGAGCAGCAAACTTTTCAGAGAATCCCCTTTTCCCGATTGTTTTCTTTTGCAACTCACATACCCGTGCCTCTAGGGTCGTGGTAGATTTTCCATCCCATTTTCTCATGTCCTCTCCATGGTCTCATAAGTAAAACCACAGGGTGGCACTGGGTGTATAGCCACCATATCGTCTTCCTTGTGTGGATGAACGCTTACCCCTGATGGCTGAGACACTGGTTTGTACAGGTGGGGAGGAAAATAATCTCTCTTCAAGTTGGTGGAACATTTCAGACAATTTATTTAAAGTATTCTCTTTTAGTTGGTGGACACTGGCTTGTTCAGGTGGGGAGGAAGGTAAATTCTGTTTAAGTTGGTGGAACTCTTCAGAAAATTTCTCCACAGCTGAGATGCAGGCCTGTAAGGAAGAGGAGAAACTTTCTTTGTAGTGTCATATTGCAGGAAGAATGGGCGAAAATATGACAGACACCAGTATGGTCAGATCATGCTCTCTCTTTATTACCCAAATAGCCTGATTTTATAGCACATTTAATAGGGGTGGATAGTGTCTCACACAAGATTATTGGTCAAAAGCATTCAGACAAACAACTGCAAGAAAACAACCCCACCTGCAAGAAAACAACCCCCTTGTGATTAGCAGTCACGTAGATCTCGTCCTTGAAGCCAGCTGCTGGCAACAATATTTTTTAATTCCTCAGTCAGGCAATATGGGAACATTGTCATGGGAACTTCTCGTAGTTGTCCTGGTAGCTTGGTTTGCTCAGCTGCAGCCAGTCATGGCCTCCTTGCTGTTTCAAAAATCCCTCAACACTGCCAGAGTTGTTTAGCCACTTCATCCACTGTGGGTTCCTCATCCTCTTTCCAGGCCATTATTGCCAATGAACTGGCATATGATGATGGTGCACTCCGTACAAACTTCCGCCACATGGGTCGTGTACACCTGACTTCATCTGGATCTGTGGATGTTTGTCCGAGGTCTGGATCCTCATAAATCACCTCCCGTACGGCTAATTCCCTCAGGTACTGGATTCCCTTCTCCATATAGTGATCCACTTGCCTGGTAGACATACAAGTTCTTCCTTGAAGGGATACCTTTCCCTCACAGCTGAGAGGAGACGCCTCCAGAGGCTGTGAGATTGTGCTCCATCTGCAATTGCTTTGTCAATGCCTGCGTCTCTAGCAAGGGATCCCAGCCGCCTGGCTTCCCTGCCCTCTAATTCCACACAATTGGCTGCAGTGTCCCAGCACTGGAGCAGCCAGGTGACAAGCTGCTCACCTATACAACGACCAAAATCTTTTCGTACATCTCGTAGCTCACACTGGTATAGGTTTCGGGTAGTTACTGTTGATTTTTCGGCATCCTCATCTTCCTCCTCCTGAACCCCTGATGGCCCAGCATCGTCGTCTCTATACCTAGACTTAGCAGAAGACTCTCTGCGTTCTAAACGACCTGAATCTCTATACCATTTTTTCACCTTCTCTATAGGGGCAACTTGCACTGCTACAGCTTGTTTCTCTGACCCAGCTACAGGGTCTGCCACAGGGGTTGGAATACCCTCTGCAGGGTTAACTTGCACTGCTACAGTTTGTTTCTCTGACCCAGCCTCAGAAGCTGGAGCGGCTGCAGGAGCTGGAGCCGCTGCAGGAGCTGGAGCAGCTGCAGGAGCTGGAACTGGAGCGGCTGCAGGATCTGGAACTGGTATGGCTGCAGGGTCCAGTAGGGGTTGGAGTGCCCGTTGGGTCTGTCACAGGACTTGGAGTGGCCACAGGGTCTGTCACTAGGTTGATAGTAGTATTGATTGCAGCTCGATAGCCATGGACCAGACCCCAGCATGCTACAGTGATTTCTGTCACTTTGTAACTGCCAGAGTCATGACTCCCTTTTTTCAAGAATTCTCCCAGTTTTTTAGGATTTTGCAGTTGTTCAGGGGTGAATTTCCAAAACACTGGAGGTGCCCACTGCTCTAGAAACCCACCCATATCCTCCCACACTCCCTGCCACTCGCAACTAGCCCGCCTCAGGACAGATCTCTGGATGATATTCCTAAGTAGTTGTTTAATCTTAAACAAAACCTGAAGGGCATTCAGGAGGCATAACAACAAGACCATGCTGGTCTGGGTATCCCAAGGATATTCAACATCTTGGAAAACTATTGTAACAAGCTGGGAGGATAAGAGAGAGGGTGGTGAAGGAGAAAGGGAGAGTGAACGAGTAAGAAAAAATATCTTCCCCTTTCCCCTCCACAGATTGACTCCCTGGCAAAAAAAAGGCAGTAGGTGTAATTGTCATTAGTTTCCGAGATACGGTTTCCAAAGTATAGAGTCGATGACAGTGCTGAGTTCAAATACCAAGTTAGAGTCATAACCAGAAATTTCATCGTCTCATAAGCCACTGTTACAACACATAGTACCATAATGATCTTAAACCAGGGCCCGGAGAGAATAAACAACATGACAGAGAGCACATACGGAAAGTAACGTGCTATAATACTCAATTTGGAAAACAGGTGCAGCAGACTTGAGATTAAAGCAATCAGCATTATGACAAGTAACTATTAAGCAGGTCTAATACTTATACCAATTTTAGTTTAACACACTCTGGTCAGATCTGTCATTATCTCAACCCTTCGAGCCCCACATTGGGCGCCAAAAAGGACTGTTGTGATTTAACCCAGCCAGCAGCTAAACACCACACAGCCATTCGCTCACCCTCCCCCCTCCCTCTCTGGAATGGGGGAGAGAAACAGGAAAGTGAAGCCTGTGAGTTGAGATAAAGACAGTTTATTAAGACAGGAAAATAATAATAACAATAATAATAATAACAATAATGAGGATAATAGTACTACTAATAACAATGTGTATGAAACAAGTGATGCACAATGCAATTGCTCACCACCCACTGACCAATGCCCAGCCTAACCCCGAGCAGTCCGGCCCTCCTCCCCCCTGCTAGCCACCCGTATATATTGTTTAGCATGACGTCAGATGGTATGGAATACCCCCTTTGTCTAGTTTGGGTCAGCTGCTCTGGGTCTGTCCCCTCCCAGCTCTTGTTGCACCCCAAGCCTGCCCGTTGGCAGGACAAAGCGAGGAGCTGAAAAGTCCTTGACTTGGTGTAAGCACTGCTCTGCAACAATTAAAACATCGGGGTGTTATCAGCACTCTTCTCATCCTAAGCCAAAACATAGCATTCTACCAGCTACTAGGAAGAAAATTAACTCTGTCCTAACTGAAACCAGGACATTTGGTTGTTACTATAATACTGTTGTTTTGATGTTTAACTGGTCCTTGTAGTTACCATGTAAGCAACGTAACCACTTGACAATGTTCTGTCCTGCACTGAACAAGCTGTCCACTTTGTGCAGAAAAGTCATCTGTCTGTCCAGTGGCTGAAGTATATTCTTCTTATTTTTCTTGCAGGCACAGGAGAGAGTGGCAAAAGCACATTCATCAAACAGATGAGAATCATCCACGGATCAGGTTACTCTGATGAAGACAAAAGGGGCTTTACAAAATTGGTGTACCAGAATATATTTACAGCAATGCAGGCCATGATCAGAGCCATGGATACCCTCAAAATACCATACAAATATGAACATAATAAGGTGAGATTTTTTTTTATTTCCATAGCTGAAGCTTCTCCTCTTTTATCTTCAGGAAGCGTACTGAAGGTCTCTAAAAATTATACATTGTGTACAAATTATATTCTACCTAAAATTTAGAAGAAAAGGGCTTCTTCCAGTCCTGCCTCTACTTCTCTGCCATTTGCACTGCTCTGACAGCACAGAGGTGCTGCTCTTAAAAAGATATCTGGGGGTGGGAGGGTTGTCATATCAAGAGGGTTAAGAGGTTAAGAGCAGTCTGGCATTTTCCTGTGACTTTAGTCACCTCTTTTCCGTTCCTCCTTGTCCATGTCTGGGCCAGAGCACAGTTAAGACATTCTTCTGGTTTGTACCAGTACTATTTAAGACTTTCCATTAATATTATGTGGGGAAAAATCAAATTTATTAGAAAAATAGGTGGGGATATCTTGTTGAATTTGAGTACATTATGAAATAAAACTTTTGACACAAGGCCTTAGAATAAGCCAATTCTTTTGAAAGTGATGATATTGCTGAAATTTAGAAAAAGAAAATACCTTTAAAGCATTTTGTAAGTTTTATCTTTGGTTAGCCTGACTTCGTTCACTTTTTTTAAATATTAGCTTTCTAAAAGAAAGATGAATGACATGTTTTAAAGTTTCAATGAAAGAGGGTAAAGCACTTAATACAAGTGATATTTTTTTGCATGGGGAGGCAAAGGATTACATGGCTGTATCTCCCGTTCCTTTCCATTGGGGTGCTCTGTCTTTGAGAACAGTTCCTGAGAACTGGTCCTGATATTTACTACTGACTCTTACTGCTGACTCTCAGTAACTTTGTCAGATTAAGATCTCTTATGAGTTAAAGGCTTGCCTTTCTTTGAATCTTGTGAAAGGAGATTTAATGATTATTTAGTAATCCTGGATGAAAATTATACTTGTAAATTATTTTATTATTTGCTTAAATATCAGAAGCTATCTAAAAGCATGGAAATTGGCAATAAGGAAGTAACCTTCTGTTAACTAGGACAGGCAAGATGAAAAAAGTATGTTAATAGAAGTTGTGTTTTTATCTTGCTGGGCAGCTGAACTCCACTACAACCTCCTCAGAAGAAGAGGGGGAGCAGAGAGTATGCTGGGAAGAGAAAAAAAAAAAAGTCTCATGGATTGAGATAAGGATAGAATCATAGAATCATTAAGGTTGGAAAAGACCTCCAAGATCATCTGGTCCAACCATTACCCTATTACCAATGTTACCAACTAAACCATGTCCTTAAGCACCACATCCAGCTTTTCCTTAAACACCCCCAGGGACAGTGACGCCACCACTTCCCTGGGCAACCTGTTCCAGTGCCTGAAATTAAACAGAAAAGGAAGAGGGAAAAAACAAGCAAATGCCGTGCAGAAGCACAATGAGAGAAATAAAATATTCTCTACTTCCCATCAACAAGCGATGTTCGGCTACATCCTGGAAAGCAAGCTATCAATATGCATAGCAGTTGTTTGGGAAGACATATGTCTTTATAATGAAAGCCCTCTCTACACCCCCCTTCCTTCCCCTTTCCCACCTTTTATTGCTGAGTCTGACATCATATGGTATGGAATGTCCCTTTGGTTGGTTTAGGTCATCTGCCCTGGTGGTGTCTCCTCCCCACTTCTTGCCCACTCCCAGCCTACTGTCTCTGGGGGAGTTTAGGGGGATTCTTGATGCTGTGCCAGCATTGCTCAACAATAGACAAAACATTGGTGTGATACCAATGCTGTTCTAATCACAAGTGCAGAGCACAGTACTGCATGGGCCACTGCAAGGAAAGTTAACTCCATCCCAGCCAGACCCAGTACAGAAGTCTTTTGTGTTTACATATATGAAATTTAATTATTAGAATTGATCTGCAGTATATGTTTGAAGGGTTCTTATTTAGAAGTAGGAAAAGTGAAGTTTATTATCAGGGGAAGGCTTAGTTTCTCCATTTGTGTCCACCAAAGTCATTGCAGCTGATTACCACATTGTGATGTAATGGTATGGTAACCAAAGAATCTTGCAGGAGCCTGGGTTTATACAGTGGCAAGTTAGGCAGGTCCTGTCAAAATCAATATTGGTAACTTTCTTTAATGTGTTTTTGGGGTTTCTGAGCTTATGAAAATGTTCGGAAATTTTGAAAAATTTGTCCTAAATAGAATGTTGATCTGAACCTCCTAATCTGATTGTATTCTTGAGCTGTCTGATTTCCCCTTGCCCCTCAGAAATCAAAATCAAATGTATAACTCATATAACTAGTATTAAAAAGGAAATTGCATTTGTATGTGTATTTCAGCTCCATATTTTACTGTACATAAAGCACTGAATTTCCTATCAAACTGACTTTAAATGTTAATTGATTGTGAAGCACACATTTTTCTTCTGTATTGGTATTGACCATCTCTTTGCTGTACTATATGGAAGTCCATTATAAATCCTTGTATTATGCTACAGTGTATATATTCTATAGTTATTATTTAAATTGAGTGTTGAATTTATATAGAATATTTTTATATAGTTGAAGTGAATGTTAGATGCGGCATATCTGTATACATGTGACCAGACCTTTCTAGTTATAGCTGTTCACTTTTTATATATAAAAATAACTTTCTTGAAAGTGAGAAAGTCTATCTTTGTGCTCAGCTACTTCACAAACATTCCCATCAGTTCTAATAGGGCTATGTGTGGAGTAAAGTGCCAAAGCTGACAGGTTCTAGATGAAGTTCCTTTATAAACTCAGCGGGATTTTTTTAATTCAGGGGAATTAAAAAATACAAACTTTTTTTTTTTTATTGAAAAAAAACTCATTAGCCTTGCAGCCTAGAAAACACAGGAAGGGCGCTTCCTATGAAATTGAATCTCATATCAGGAAATTCAGTCTCTGGAAATAATATCTCAAATTTTGAGTAACAGCATATTCTTAGCACAGTACTTGTTTTGCACAATAGCTTAGAGACCTACAGCTCAAGCTGCTACTTATATTGCTGTGCCTAAAGAAATGGGAGCGAAGTGACCCTTTTATCAAATTCAAAAAGTTCAGTTAAGTAGGCAGTTGGGATCTTTGTACAGTGTAAAACAATGACATCTAGGCTGGATTATTTTAATATCAGCATAGAAAGAAGCAAGTTTTAAGTTAAGGCAGTTAGTTCTTCCAGTATTGTGTTGGCTTCATAGTCACCAATATAATTAAATCAGTGAACTCTGAAATGGTTTGTCCTATATTATGACAATCTAAGTTCTTTGAAAGATTTATTATCAGAACAGTGAAAGTCAATTGAGAAACGTAAATGTTAGCGTTTAAATTGTAATGTCTGATTACTGATGGTAGGGCACTGTATCACATAAAACATTTCTTTTGTTAACTGCAGAATGTGAGCTCTATTGAGGTTTAAGATAACAGGTGAGGGTGATCTCTTCTCTAAGGAAATGGTGGCTTATGAATTGTTTTTTTTAGTTTCCTTTTGAGTAAACGTTACTGTGTTTTCATTATTTTTTAAATATAAATTGTGAAGTTTTTATATGCATATTGAATTTTGGAGAAGCAGTTTATAAAATATAGAAAAGCCTTAGGGTGTTCTTTGTGTTTCTCAAAATTGCCTGTCTGCAAAATTTTTGTGAGTGTACAATAGTAACTCATGTGCAAGAACTAACATTCGCATACACATTTTTTAAAACCATCTTTTTAGAATTTTGACCTGTGTATCTATGTTTCTGTCAGTCCACCCAAGTTAATTAATGCTAAATGAAGAAAACCATTAACTAATTATTTTTTTAACTTTTGACTTAACTTTGGTGTAATATCTCCATTCTTGGAGATATTCAAAAGCCACCTGGACATGGTCCTGGGCAACTGGTTCTAGGTGACCCTGCTTGAGCAGGGGGATTGGACCAGATGACCTCCAAAGGTCCCTTCCATCCTTATCCATTCTGTGATTCTGACATTCCCAGTGTTGTCCATAGTGGCTTAGAAGCCATTGTTCTAGGTAATGTAGTCCCCATTTCTCCTGTTCTATCTTTTTTCATGTCTAATATTACTGAAGGATGTGTGTTTTGTTTTGTTTTTTTCTCTCCTGTTGTTACAAAAGTTCTACTAAATAAATTACTCCTGTACTAAAGAACTACTACCAGTTTTACCCCTTATTGTTTCTTTTCAGTGTAATTTCCAGAACACAGTTGCCTCTTCTTAAAGACTGTCTGGAGGTTGTCATTCATTAATGGTTAACAGGCAGGAAATCTTAATTGAATATGATGCCAAGAATTTCCTGTGAGTCTTCTTAAATATTCATAACAAATTACCCAATGTGAGTAAGCTACAAGAACAGAGAAACTGAAAACATAAAATCAACTCTTAGTGTAGACAAAGAAGTTTGCTCTAAGTTTCAAAGAGTAGTTCCACTGATGAAGTTGTTTCTGTATTTAAGCCTATTCCTTATAAGGAATGTTTAAAAATGAAAATAAGCAAGTATGGGAAAATGCTTTTAAAGTCCAAAATCTTACTGATGCTCTCTTCAAGGCCAAGTTTACTTTGTTGATAGCTTTTTTTTTTCCCCCAAGTCGGATGAATCTATTGTAACAAACAGACCAAAGTAAGATACTAGGAGCAGGTATGGAATCAGATTACATAAATCTCAACTGAACAGTTTTGAGTTTTAAATGTTTTGGATCTCTTCAGTGACATTTGATCTTCAGCAAACATAAGTTGGAGAAAGAACCTCCCTCATACCTCACCTGATATGCAAATAATGTGAAGGACTGAATACCAAGCAGCAGTGTGCTAATTGTGTGTGAGATCCATTGACTCAGGTGACGTAGTATGTATGGTAGTTATTGTCTTTTTTGAAAGAAGGATATTATGAGGATGTTGAAATGAAATGCTTCTAAAGAATAGCTTATTGGTTTGGAACACACATAATAAAGTGCTTCTTCAAGTAGATGGAGAAATCTGAACTGTGCCATCTGCACAAACAGTAGTATTCTTCAGTGTCTCATACTTGAAGAAGAGAGCT